GAGAGGGGTGGGTTAGCAGGGAGGGAGGTGTGATTGGAGAGAGAGAGAGGGGTGGGTTAGCAGGGAGGAGGTGTGATTGGAGAGAGAGAGAGAGGGGTGGGTTAGCAGGGAGGGAGGTTGTGATTGGAGAGAGAGAGAGGGGTGGGTTAGCAGGGAGGGAGGTATGATTGGAGAGAGAGAGAGAGGAGAGGCTACTGCTGAGCAAGCAAGCATGGGGGTTGTTGGCAGGTTGAGATTCTCACCCTTCTCCCCGTGCTCCCCATTAGGTGATTGCAGCCTTCAGTGCCGTGTGACAGGCAGGTATGGTGCAGTGCAGTGGCATGGAAAGGTGTGGGAGGGAGGCGTCGCATGTGTGTGGTTGCTGAGCTGTGATCCCTGTGCTCTCCTCTCCATTAATTGCATTGCAGCCTTCAGTGCCGTGTGGCAGGCAGGTATGGTGCAGTGCAGTGGCATGGAAAGGTGTGGAGGGAGGCGTCGCATGTGTGGGTTGCTGAGCCTGTGATCCCTGTGCTCTCCTCTCCATTAATTGCATTGCAGCCTTCAGTGCCGTGTGGCAGGCAGGTATGGTGCAGTGCAGTGGCATGGAAAGGTGTGGGAGGGAGGCGTCGCATGTGTGGGTTGCTGAGCCTGTGATCCCTGTGCTCTCCTCTCCATTAATTGCATTGCAGCCTTCAGTGCCGTGTGGCAGGCAGGTATGGTGCAGTGCAGTGGCATGGAAAGGTGTGGGAGGGAGGCGTCGCATGTGTGGGTTGCTGAGCCTGTGATCCCTGTGCTCTCCTCTCCATTAATTGCATTGCAGCCTTCAGTGCCGTGTGGCAGGCAGGTATGGTGCAGTGCAGTGGCATGGAAAGGTGTGGGAGGGAGGCGTCGCATGTGTGGGTTGCTGAGCCTGTGATCCCTGTGCTCTCCTCTCCATTAATTGCATTGCAGCCTTCAGGGCCGTGTGGCAGGCAGGTATGGTGCAGTGCAGTGGCATGGAAAGGTGTGGGAGGGAGGCGTCGCATGTGTGGGTTGCTGAGCCTGTGATCCCTGTGCTCTCCTCTCCATTAATTGCATTGCAGCCTTCAGTGCCGTGTGGCAGGCAGGTATGGTGCAGTGCAGTGGCATGGAAAGGTGTGGGAGGGAGGCGTCGCATGTGTGGGTTGCTGAGCCTGTGATCCCTGTGCTCTCCTCTCCATTAATGCATTGCAGCCTTCAGGGCCGTGTGGCAGGTGAGGGGTGGATTGAGGTGAGGTGGGTTACCCATAAACCACCACCCTTCACCCACCACCCTAGTCACCACCCTTGAACACACCACCCTGTATCCGCCATCCGTTACCCACCTTCCATCACCATCACACCTTTCCTCTTTCCCCTTTCATCCCTCCCCAATCAGATTGTGGTAGTGGCAGCAGTCATCATCATCATCAGCATCATCATCATCATCATCATCATCATCATCATCATCATCATCATCATCATCATCATCATCATCATCATCATCATCATCATCATCATCATCATCATCATCATCATCATCATCATCATCATCATCATCATCATCATCATCATCATCATCATCATCATCATCATCATCATCATCATCATCATCATCATCATCATCATCCTCCCATGCGTCGCCACCACCCTGCAGTTTATCTCCCCATTCCCTAAACCCACCATCCCCCCATCCCCCCGGCTCTCCCTCTTCGCCCCACCCAATCAGATGGTGGTGGTGGCAGCAGTGATTATCATCCTCCCATGCGTCTCCACCCCCCTTGCCTTGGCCCAGCTACATGTGTCATACTTCCATCCCGTTCACCCCCCAACCATCCCCCCTTCGCCCCTCCCAATCAGATGGTGGTGGTGGCAGCAGTGATTATCATCCTCCCATGCGTCTCCACTACCCTGCAGCCAGCTTGGTTCATCTTTCGCCACTACCACGTGCAGCTAGACGTTACCCACGTGCCCAACGATGTGAGTACAAGTGATGATGTGAAGAGAGGGGGTGGAGGGCAGGGCAGTACAATGCGGTGGTGCCGTGGGGTGCCGTGGGGTGCCGTGGGGTGTGGTGCAGTGTGGTGGGTGCGGTTGTTGTAGTGACCAGAGAGAGAAATGAGAAGGATGAACCAAGAAGTGGGGCCTGGGACAGGGAAGGGGAGACGGAGCAGCACATACCTACGCATCACACACTGCACAGGCCAAGCCTGTTGCCTCTCAGCACAGCCCCATCACCCCAGCACGCACATGACAGCACCCATTTCAACCCACCTGGCAGCAGCGGTCTCAATGCCCGGCAGCAGCTGCAGTGCGCCCCCATAGTCCATGGCCTCCACTGCTGCCGCCACACGCCGCTACCCCTCCACCACCAGCCGCCTGATAGTGTTTTGAGTCGACTCAAAACTCGCCTGATAGTGTGGGAGTGGGCGTGCACGTGCAGCCACTACCACGTGCAGCTGGACGTGACCCACGTGCCCAACGATGTGAGTACACAGAACACTACAGCACGCTATGGGGCAGTAGGCACAGCACACTACAGCACGCTATGGGGCAGTAGGCACATCACACTACAGCCCCCCTCCTTCATCTTCTCTTCACCCTACCACCTGCAGCTGGACGTGACCCACGTGCCCAACGATGTGAGTGGGATCTGATGATTCTCTGAGTGGGATCTGATGATTCTCTGAGTGGGATCTGATAATGCTCTGAGTGGGATCTGATGATTCTCTGAGTGGGATCTGATGATTCTCTGAGTGGGATCTGATGATTCTCTGAGTGGGATCTGATGATTCTCTGAGTGGGATCTGATTATTCTCTGAGTGGGATCTGATGATTCTCTGAGTGGCCTGATGGTGTGGGAGTGAATGGGTATGAGGCAGAGCGTCACACCCCCCACACCCCCCACCCCGCCCCTGCACCCACCACCCCCCCACCCCTCCCCCCGCACCCACCACCGCCCCCACCCCTCCCCCCGCATCAGGCATTCGCCTTTGTGCTGGCAATGCAGCTCTCCTCTTTGGCTTTCGAGATGTATCAGAGCGTATCCTCTTCCATCCCCAACATCCCCATCCCTCCCCCTTCCACAACCCATCAGGCATACGCCTTTGTGCTGGCAATGCAGCTTTCTCTTTTCGGTCTTTACGCATACGACACTGTAGCGCACATGGCAGAAGAGACGAAACGCGCCGACGTCACCGTGCCGGCCGCAATGGTCTCGTGTCTCTCGGCAGCTACTGTGGTGGGGTGGGCGGTGATCGTCGTCCTGACTGCGTGTATTACCAATAAAGAGACGCTTCTTGAAGAAACTAACGCCACCGGGGGACAGCAACCGGTGGTGCAAATCATCTGGGAGGTCTTTTACAACAGGTGAGTGCTCAGGTGAATTCTTAGGTGAATTTTCAGGTGAATTCTCAGGTAAATTTCAGGTGGATCTCCTGGTGCTTCAACGGCACGGGGGCAGTGGTGCTGCTGTGCCTCTCGTGTAATTCTCCTGTGCTATGCTGATCAGTGGTGCTGATCAGTGGTGCTGATCAGTGGTGCTGATCAGTGGTGCTGATCAGTGGTGCTGATCAGTGGTGCTGATCAGTGGTGCCGATCAGTGGTGCCGATCAGTGGTGCCGATCAGTGGTGCTGATCAGCACCACTGCTGATCAGGGGGCAATGGAAGGCTGTACTTCTCCTTCTCTGCTGCCTTCCATTCCATTTGCATGCTCTAACCCATGTGCTATGCATTCAACCCCGTTTCCCCGTCCCCCAACCCCTCAACCACCCCACCAGGTACGGCAACGGCACGGGGGCAGTGGTGCTGCTGTGCCTCATGTACTGCTCCTTCTTCTTTGCCGCCTTGCAATCGTGTGCTCCAACCCATGTGCTCTGCATTCATCCCTCATCACTCATCCGCCCCCACCACCCACCCACCCACCCCCCACCAGGTACGGCAACGGCACGGGGGCAGTGGTGCTGCTGTGCCTCATGTACTTCTCCTTCTTCTTTGCCGCCTTTGCTGCCGTCATCGGTGCCTCTAGAGCTGTGAGTAATCTCCCAGGGAATTTTAAAAATTCTCGGTGGATTTCACATGAAACCAAGAAAATAAACAAAAGATTGGCTAAGGACGTCACAGATTCTCCCAGAGAACTACCTCAAAATCTAGAACATTTTTGTGGAAAGGTATAGAATCCATTGTTGGCTTTATAATGATATATTATTTATTTTGCTCTTGCCTTCCTGTGGAGGCGGGTCAACCGCGACCGCACGCCAGTCAACGCCGTCCTCCTCACCTGCACCATCGCAATCGTCTTCTGCCTGCTGCTCTTCCACTCCACCTCCACCTTCTTCGCCATCACCTCTCATTGCCCTAACCCATGCCATCCCCTTCCCTTCCCCATGCCTCCCACTTCCCCCCCCCATCCCCTCTCCACCCCACACCCCCCTCCCCTTTCTCAGGCCTTCTCCCTGTCACGCGATTCCGGCCTCCCTCTCGCCTTCCTGTGGAGGCGGGTCAACCGCGATCGCACGCCAGTGAACGCGGGTCCTGCTCACCTCCTCCATTGCAATCCTCTTCTCCCTGCCTCTCCTTCACTCCCCCTCCACCTTCTTCGCCATCACCTCCCTCGCCACCGTCGCATGGGTCGGCAGCTACGCCGTGCCCCTGCTGCTGCGCCTGCTGCAACCCCCGTCGGCATTCAAACCAGGGGCATTCAGCCTCGAACGTTACGTGGGGACTGTGGGGAGGTGAGAGAGTGCTAATGGGTGGTGGCACGTAGGGGGGGATGGGAGCATGGGTCGGCAGCTATGCCGTGCTCTACACCATGGCCACTTCTATGGTTCCCATGTACTTCCCCGTAACCGTCTCCACCCCTTTCCACCCCTGTTCACCCCTCACCACCCAAACCAACCCATCAGGAGGTGCATCAACGGGGGAGCGCTCTTATTTGTCCTATACACCATGGCAACCTCTATGGTTCCCATGTACTTCCCTGTAACCGTCTCCAATTTCAATTGGTCCAGCTGCGTGCTGCTGGTAACTGTAACCTTCTTCATCTCCTGGTGGATTTTCGATGCACGCCATTGGTTCATAGGGCCTTTCCATAACCGGGCAGGGAACCAGCATCACAGCCACTCAGGCGCCGCCAAGTGGTTCAATTGACCTTTTAGGGCAGCTGAGATTTTACTTTCTGGAGAAACATGGTTTGTTCGGTGGTCAACAGGGTACCAAAACCCTCGTCACGTATTTATTTGTTTCCTTTGATAAACCTCAAAATTGTTTACTGTACCGGTACAAAGAGCTGCAGTACCGGTACTTGTCAGTGTGTTTTATTTTGGATAGGAGGTGTTTTGTGTGTGACTTGGCGTGGAATGGAAACCAGGCTTTGGTTTGGGGGTTGGCCTCTATATCATCTTCTTCCACAGGGCTACCACATCAACAGCAACCCATACGTGCTTCGCTTGCTTACTGAATTGAAGTGCAAGATGTGATGTGACAGCCTTGGCAGCCTGTGCGTGGCATGTGTAGGGCATGGCATGTGTAGGGCATGGCATATGTAGGGCATGGCATATTCGCCTGTAAACACATGCAGAATGGTATATCTATCCTCGAACCAATGTCGTCTGTATATCTTACACACCACTTTCCGAAGCCCGTCCTTCGGCCGTTTTCAGCAATCGCAGTAACTTTGTGGTTCCGGCAAAACATTAACAGCGCTTTGAATCAACAGCTGCTGTTTCCTCGGTTGCTATTTTGCTTCACTTTCACTACGTTCCTATATTTGCAGGCAAGTTCGCATCACACACCGTTCGGTACCGCATTCCACCGCAGGATAATGAAACTCAAGAATAGGGAGAAGGTACGGTACGGTAATCCTTTTTACATGAACAAGCGTCCAGCAGTGTATTTCGACATTCGTTTCGCGGAGCTCTGCTGTTTTGGTACGGGCCTACAAACCAATGCCTGGCGTCTAACAACCACCAGGAGCAGAAGAAAGTCACGAGGCACACGATTCCCACACATGCATAGTTGAAATTCGCCGGAGTGATGGGGAAATCGACAGGGACCAGGAACGTTGCGATGGTGTAGATGACGAAGAGGAGCGCTGTGAGGTTGATGAGTCGCCTGGAATGGAGTGTTGAGTGGGGGGGAGAGAGTGGGGAGAGAGTGGGGAGAGAGTGGGGAGAGAGTGGGGAGAGAGTGGGGAGAGAGTGGGGAGAGAGTGGGGAGAGAGTGGGAGAGAGAGAGGGGAGAGAGAGAGGGAGAGAAAGTGGAGGCACATGTGTGATACAGTCACGAGGAAGGATGCGATGGTGTGGGTGACAAAGAGCATTGCCTGTGTGACGACATAGCCAGCAAGGCCTAATGCTCCCTCCCGGCTCCAAATCCTCGTCTCTTTGAATCAGATTTAGAGGCGCCTCAAAAGCACTCACCTGCCCATGTAATCACCTGCCCATGTACTCACCTGATCACACACCCACCTGCCCATGTACTCACCTGATCACACACCCACCTGCCCATGTACTCACCTGATCACACACCCACCTGCCCATCTTCTGAGGCGCCTCAAAGGCCCACCACCCACCTGCCTGTGTGCCCGATATAGTCTGCCTGCGAGGCTAAACGCTCCCAGCTCGAAATCCTCATCCCGCTAAGTCATCTCCTGAGGCGCCTCAAAAGCACCCACCTGCCTGTGTGCCCGATATAGTCAGCCAGGTTGAATGCCCCGGGCTCGAAGTCCTCGTCCCGTTGAATGAGGCGGAAGAATATGGGGACCGCATAGCTGCCGACCCATGCAACGGTCGCAAGCGAGGTGATGAAATGGAAGGTAATGGAGTCGTCAAGGAGAGGGAGAGAGAAGAGGATGGCGATGCTGCAGCAGAGCCACACGGCGTAGATGGGCGTGCGGCTGCGGTTGACCCGGCGCCACAGGGAGGCGAAGGGGAGGCCTGAGTCACGCGACAAGGAGTAGGCCTGGTGGAAGGGGAAGGTGTGAAAGGGCGGAGGAGAAGAAGGGGAGAAGAACACAGGAAGAGCCGGGTATGACGGAGCAGGCGAGCAGGGCAGGACTCATGGGATGCAGCAGCAGAGCCACACGGCGTAGATGGGCGTGCGGCTGCGGTTGACTTGCCGCCAGAGGGAGGCGAAGGGGAGGCCTGAGTCACGCGACAAGGAGCAGGCCTGGTGGAAGGGGAAGGGTGAAAGGGCGGGGGAGAAGGGAGAAGGGGAGAAGGAGGGGAGAAGGGAGGCGCCAGAGGGAGGTGAAGGGGAGGCCTGAGTCACGCGACAAGGAGTAGGCCTGGAGAGGGGATGAGGGAAAAGGTGGGAGAGGGAGGGTAAGGGGAGGGCGGAGGGCGGATGGAGGGATGGAGGGATGACGGTAGGGGAGGGGAAAGGACAAGGGCAGGTCGGCCAAAGTTGCACGAGAGGGAGGGAGTATGCATGGCGAATGCGAGGGTTTGAGGTGTGGGGTCCAGGGTTTAGGTCTTGGCTGATTCAAGGATCAGGGTCGAAGGGTTTGAGGTGTGGGGTTCAGGGTTTAGGTCTTGGCTGGTTCAAGGATCAGGGTCGAAGGGTTTGAGGTGTGGGGTTCAGGGTTTAGGTCTTGGCTGGTTCAAGGATCAGGGTCCAAGGCACTAAGGTTGTGGGAGAATTGAACAAGGGGGCGCATGCCAAGAAGCATGTCAGAGAAGCATGTCAGAGAAGCATGGCAAGAAGCATGTCAGAGAAGCATGGCAAGAAGCATGTCAGAGAAGCATGGCAAGAAGCATGTCAGAGAAGCATGGCAAGAAGCATGTCAGAGAAGCATGGCAAGAAGCATGTCAGAGAAGCATGGCAAGAAGCATGTCAGAGAAGCATGGCAAGAAGCATGTCAGAGAAGCATGGCAAGAAGCATGTCAGAGAAGCATGGCAAGAAGCATGTCAGAGAAGCATGGCAAGAAGCATGTCAGAGAAGCATGGCAAGAAGCATGTCAGAGAAGCATGGCAAGAAGCATGTCAGAGAAGCATGGCAAGAAGCATGTCAGAGAAGCATGGCAAGAAGCATGTCAGAGAAGCATGGCAAGAAGCATGTCAGAGAAGCATGGCAAGAAGCATGTCAGAGAAGCATGGCAAGAAGCATGTCAGAGAAGCATGGCAAGAAGCATGTCAGAGAAGCATGGCAAGAAGCATGTCAGAGAAGCATGGCAAGAAGCATGTCAGAGAAGCATGGCAAGAAGCATGTCAGAGAAGCATGGCAAGAAGCATGTCAGAGAAGCATGGCAAGAAGCATGTCAGAGAAGCATGGCAAGAAGCATGTCAGAGAAGCATGGCAAGAAGCATGTCAGAGAAGCATGGCAAGAAGCATGTCAGAGAAGCATGGCAAGAAGCATGTCAGAGAAGCATGGCAAGAAGCATGTCAGAGAAGCATGGCAAGAAGCATGTCAGAGAAGCATGGCAAGAAGCATGTCAGAGAAGCATGGCAAGAAGCATGTCAGAGAAGCATGGCAAGAAGCATGTCAGAGAAGCATGGCAAGAAGCATGTCAGAGAAGCATGGCAAGAAGCATGTCAGAGAAGCATGGCAAGAAGCATGTCAGAGAAGCATGGCAAGAAGCATGTCAGAGAAGCATGGCAAGAAGCATGTCAGAGAAGCATGGCAAGAAGCATGTCAGAGAAGCATGGCAAGAAGCATGTCAGAGAAGCATGGCAAGAAGCATGTCAGAGAAGCATGGCAAGAAGCATGTCAGAGAAGCATGGCAAGAAGCATGTCAGAGAAGCATGGCAAGAAGCATGTCAGAGAAGCAGAGTACAAGGAATGAGGGTTGAAGGTTTAAGGTTGTGTGGTAGTGGTGACTACAAGGAGGCTGCTGGTGCCGCCCAAAAGCATGTCCCGTCCCGCCACTTTTCTAAGCCCGCGTGTGTGCACCCATTTGGTGAGTATGCCACATTATGTGCTCACGACGCCCGTGTGAGTATGCCACATTATGTGCTCACGACGCCCGTGTGAGTATGCCACATTATGTGCTCACGACGCCCGTGTGAGTATGCCACATTATGTGCTCACGACGCCCGTGTGAGTATGCCACATTATGTGCTCACGACGCCCGTGTGAGTATGCCACATTATGTGCTCACGACGCCCGTGTGAGTATGCCACATTATGTGCTCACGACGCCCGTGTGAGTATGCCACATTATGTGCTCACGACGCCCGTGTGAGTATGCCACATTATGTGCTCACGACGCCCGTGTGAGTATGCCACATTATGTGCTCACGACGCCCGTGTGAGTATGCCACATTATGTGCTCACGACGCCCGTGTGAGTATGCCACATTATGTGCTCACGACGCCCGTGTGAGTATGCCACATTATGTGCTCACGACGCCCGTGTGAGTATGCCACATTATGTGCTCACGACGCCCGTGTGAGTATGCCACATTATGTGGTCACGACGCCTGTGTGAGTATGCCCACGACGCCAAGGAAGAAAGCAAGGGAGATTGCAGAGTGTGCATGTCGCCCTGGCCACACAATGCCTGCCTGCTAGTGCCTGCCACCTAGAAGCAACACTTACCGCTCTTGATGCGCCAGTGAGCCCGCCGACAACCCCCAGGATGCGAGGGACATGCAGCAGAGTGTGTCGCAGTGGCCACACAATGCCTGCTGGTGCTACCTCAAAGCAACTCCCACCGCTCGGGATGCGCCTGTGAGCCCGCCGACAACACCGAGGAAGAAGGCGAGGGACACGGCAGGGCGCGTGACACGGAGGGAAATGGGTACTAGTGCAATTCCAATGCAGCACCCACTCACCGCTCGGGATGCGCCCGTGAGCCCACTGACTACCTCAAAGCAATACCCACCGCTCGGGATGCGCCCGTGAGCCCACTGACTACCTCAAAGCAATACCCACCGCTCGGGATGCGCCCGTGAGCCCACTGACTACCTCAAAGCAATACCCACCGCTCGGGATGCGCCCGTGAGCCCACTGACTACCTCAAAGCAATACCCACCGCTCGGGATGCGCCCGTGAGCCCACTGACTACCTCAAAGCAATACCCACCGCTCGGGATGCGCCCGTGAGCCCACTGACTACCTCAAAGCAATACCCACCGCTTGGGATGCGCCCGTGAGCCCACTGACTACCTCAAAGCAATACCCACCGCTCGGGATGCGCCCGTGAGCCCTCCGACAACACCGAGGAAGAAGGCGAGGGACATGCAGCAGAGGATGATGACCGCCCCTGTGCCGCTGCCGTAGCTGGTACAAGGAGGTGGGAGGTGGGGAGATGGGGAGATGGGGAGATGGGGGCACATGGTGAGGTGGGAAGGTGGTGAGGTGGGGAGATGGAAGATTGGTAACGTGGGGAATGGAACTTGGGGGGGACATGCCGCAGAGCATGTATTGAAATCACCTGTGCCGCTGCCGTAGCTGGTACAAGGAGGTGGGGGGTGGAGATTTGGGGAGGTGGGGAGACGGGAGGAGGGGAGACGGGGAGGTGGGATGGGGAGATGGGAGGTGGGATGGGGAGATGGGAGGTGGGGGGAGGAGGAAGCTAGGCAATCTGGAATCAAGAGACATGCATCAGATTCTGATGATGTGCAGCTTCGCATGCTCCTTTCTCTCTTTCTCTCTCTCTCTCTTCTCTTCTCTCTCTCTCTCTCTTCTCTCTCTCTCTCTCTCTCTCTCTCTCTCTCTCTCTCTCTCTCTCTCTTTCTCTCTCTCTCTCTCTCCTCGATGCACTCACCGGCTGAAGAACACGTCCCATATGACTTGCACCACGGGGTACTCGCCCCTCTAGATCACCAGTGCCTTCCCCTTCTCTTCCCTCCTTCTATATCCCTCCCTCTCCCACTCACCGGCTGAAGAACACGTCCCATATGACTTGCACCACGGGGTACTCGCCCCTCTAGATCACCAGTGCCTCCCCCCCCCTTCTCTTTCCCCCCCTCTATAACCCTCCCTCTACCACTCACCGGCTGAAGAACACGTCCCATATGATCTGCACCACCGGGTACTCGCCCCGCGTCTCGTTGTCCGTCCCCAGCAGCCGGTCGTTGTTCTCGATGCAGAAGGTGAGCGACAGGAGCAGCCCCCACCCCAGCACGCACACGCACGAGAGGGATGAGACCATGGCTAGCGGGATCGTGCGGTCGGCGTGCTTTGTCTCTTCTGCCATGTGCGCTACAGTGTCGTAGCTGTACTGGCCGTAGAGTGAGAGCTGCAGCGCCACCACAAAGGCGTACGCCTGGTGGGGGAAGAGGAAGCGGGGAAAGGGGGAGGGGAGAGGGACGGGGAAGGTGAGGTTTGAGAGATCTCACAAGCCGAAGAGGGAGAGCTGCAGGGCCACCACAAAGGCGTAGGCCTGGTGTGTGGGGGGGATAGAGGGAGTGAGTGAGCGAGTGGGGAGAAGCAAAAGGTATTCTAGTGGACTCTGGAATCAAGGGGGGGTAGCTAGAAAAAGGTAATCTCTAGTTGTCTCTGGAATCAAGGGGGGAGAGCTGTGGGGCCACCACTCCACCAAGGCATATGCCTCGTGGGGGGAAGGGTGGGGGCGAGTGGAGGAATGGGAAGGGGAGGGAAAGGCATTGCATATGCTCAAGACATGTCAAGAGCTAAAGAGTGCTACCACGAAGGCGTAGGCCCGGTGGGGGGGGGGGGAAGGGTGCTACCACGAAGGCGTAGGCCTGGTGGGGGAACGAGGAGTGCTACTACCAGAAGAGCGGTTGACATCTCGAAAGCAAGAGAGAGGGAGCAGCAGTGCTGCCACGCGGTGTATGACTGGCACGTGTGTGGGAGAGAGAATATCAGCTTTTGAGTCGACTCAAAAGCGCTGCCATGCGGTGTATGCAACAGCTGGGTGGTGATGGAGCAGTGCAGTGTGGTGTAGAGCAACAGCACGGTGCAGAGGGGTGCAACACGATTTAAAGCAGCGAAGTGGAGTGTAGAGTGGTGATTCGTGAACAGCTGTAGTACTCACCGCATTAGGTAGGTGGCTCTGATTGAGCTGCACGTGGTAGTGAGTGAAGACAAAGGAGGCAGGTTGAGTGGTGACAGCCACACATGGCAGCAGCACAATGATCACGAGTGTGAGCAGTATCTGAGGATATAGAGGGGTGGGGTGGGGTGGGGAGGGTTAGGACAAGAGTGGGAGCACGAATGATGATCACGAGTGCTAGCACAATATGGGGACACAAGAGGGTAGGGGGGATGGGAGACGAGAGAGGGGGAGGGGAGAAGAGAGAGGGGGAGGGGAGCGGAGAGAGGGAGAGGAGAGAGGGAGAGGAGAGAGGGAGAGGAGAGAGGGTGACAGGTGGGGATAGAGGGGGAGGAGTGGGGATAGGGGAAAGGCAAAGAAGGGCCATGGGTCAGTCAGTCAGACGTTCATGCTTTGAGGCGTCTCAAAACACTTCTTTCTTCACGTGGCGGCCATGGGTCAGTCAGTCAGAGGTTCATGGTGTGAGAACTTAGGCTTAGAATCGATGGATAAGTAATGAGCTTGCAGCTCTTTAAGTACATCCAGGATGGGCAAGGAATCGATGGGGAAGGGAATCGGGAGCAATATCTGAGGATTGGGGGTAATCCCAAGGCAATCTCCAATTGGTGGGTTGGAGATTGCTTGGAGATCACATTTGGGTTTGGTTGGGATGTGGGTGTACACCCAACCAAACACAAAGTGCAAACTACACTACGTTAGGATATAGAAAGTACAAATACAAATGTGTGAGATTGGGGGCTAACACTAACACATGGAAGGGAAGAAGTCTAGTTTTGAGGCGCCTCAAAACTGGAAGGGAAGAAGGGAGGAGGTGGGGGAAAGGATGGGGAGAACGAGGTGGGGGAAAGGATGGGGAGAACGGGGGGGGAGGGAAAGGGTGCAGTGGGATGGGGGGAAGGGGCACTACAGGTTGGGAGAACGGAAGGTTCCTCGCACCGCACCTGCCAGACTGCAGTGAAGACGTTGAGTCTTCCAATCATTTTTATGGGCAGCGAGGTGAGCAGTCCCCCCATTATAAGCACGCCCGCTGTGATCCCAAAGCACTCGTAGTTGCTGAGGAAGTAGCCCCCGTTATTAGCACCCCCTGTAGCGGCATAGATGGTGTACTGTAGCAGCTGCACCCCCCCGAAGGCCACGCCGCCCAGCCCCACAGATATGCCAAAGAACTCCAACCAGCCCTGGGATTGGCTAAGTGGAGGGTGGGGAGGAAGGGCACTTGGTATTGGGAATAAGCACATGGATACATGGATACATGGATACATGGATACATGGATACATGGATACATGGATACATGGATACATGGATACATGGATACATGGATACATGGATACATGGATACATGGATACATGGATACATGGATACATGGATACATGGATACATGGATACATGGATACATGGATACATGGATACATGGATACATGGATACATGGATACATGGATACATGGATACATGGATACATGGATACATGGATACATAAATACATGGATACATGGATACATGGATACATGGATACATGGATACATGGATACATGGATACATGGATACATGGATACATGGATACATGGATACATGGATACATGGATACATGGATACATGGATGCATGGATGCATGGATGCATGGATGCATGGACACATGGACACATGGATGCATGGATGCATGGATACATGGAGACATGGATACATGGATGCATGGACACATGGATACATGGATACATGGATACATGGATACATGGATACATGGATACATGGATACATGGATACATGGATACATGGATACATGGATACATGGATACATGGATACATGGATACATGGATACATGGATACATGGATACATGGATACATGGATACATGGATACATGGATACATGGATACATGGATACATGGATACATGGATACATGGATACATGGATACATGGATACATGGATACATGGATACATGGATACATGGATACATGGATACATGGATACATGGATACATGGATACATGGATACATGGATACATGGATACATGGATACATGGATACATGGATACATGGATACATGGATACATGGATACATGGATACATGGATACATGGATACATGGATACATGGATGCATGGATGCATGGATGCATGGACACATGGATGCATGGATGCATGGATGCATGGATACATGGAGACATGGATACATGGATGCATGGACACATGGATACATGGATACATGGATACATGGATACATGGATACATGGATACATGGATACATGGATACATGGATACATGGATACATGGATACATGGATACATGGATACATGGATACATGGATACATGGATACATGGATACATGGATACATGGATACATGGATACATGGATACATGGATACATGGATACATGGATACATGGATACATGGATACATGGATACATGGATACATGGATACATGGATACATGGATACATGGATACATGGATACATGGATACATGGATACATGGATACATGGATACATGGATACATGGATGCATGGATGCATGGATGCATGGATGCATGGATGCATGGATGCATGGATGCATGGATGCATGGACACATGGACACATGGATGCATGGATGCATGGATACATGGAGACATGGATACATGGATGCATGGAGACATGGATACATGGATACATGGATACATGGATACATGGATACATGGATACATGGATACATGGATACATGGATACATGGATACATGGATACATGGATACATGGATACATGGATACATGGATACATGGATACATGGATACATGGATACATGGATACATGGATACATGGATACATGGATACATGGACGCATGGATGCATGGACACATGGATACATGGATACATGGATACATGGATACATGGATACATGGATACATGGATACATGGATACATGGATACATGGATACATGGATACATGGATACATGGATACATGGATACATGGATACATGGATACATGGATACATGGATACATGGATACATGGATACATGGATACATGGATACATGGATACATGGATACATGGATACATGGATACATGGATACATGGATACATGGATACATGGATACATGGATACATGGATACATGGATACATGGATACATGGATACATGGATACATGGATACATGGATACATGGATACATGGATACATGGATACATGGATACATGGATACATGGATACATGGATACATGGATACATGGATACATGGATACATGGATACATGGATACATGGATACATGGATACATGGATACATGGATACATGGATACATGGATACATGGATAAGCAAATGAAGGGCGCTATGAGGGAGACAGAGAGCACTCACGGTGATCCAGGCGGCAAAGGGAGTATGACGGGTGCTGAGGGGGAGAAAGGAGCTTAAGGGGAGGAGAGAGCAGTCACGGTGATGTGATCCAAGTAAGAGAAGGGAGAGGAGGGATGAAGGGCCACTCACGGTGATCCAGGCGGACAGGGGAAGGGAAGGGAAGGGAAGAACGTAGGCCACTCACGGTGATCCAGGCGGCAAAGGGGCCGTGCTTTGGGCCGGCGAGAGCTGCCGCCCAGAAGTAGAGCGACCCCGAGATCTGATTTGCGGGGGGAGGTGGGGCGAGGAGGTGGGGCGTGGAGGTGGGGCGTGGAGGTGGGGCGTGGAGGTGGGGCGAGGAGGTGGGGCGTGGAGGTGGGGCGTGGAGATGGGGCGGGAAGAGGGAGCAGGGAAAAATAAGATCAGATTGCGGGCGGCTGTGGGGAGAAGGGGAGGGCGAGGAGGGAGGGGAGGGCGAGGAGGGAGGGGAGGGCGAGGAGGGAGGGGAGGAGAAGGGGTTGTTTCAAGAGGGTGCGGGAAAAATGCGTGGGATTGGGAGATGTTTGGGGGATCCGCGGGAGGGAGGAACATTTTGGGGTGGAATCAGGAGAGGTGGGTGAGAAGATGTTTGGGGGAAGTGGAGGGTGAAGGGAGGTGTTTATGGGAACGGGGGGAAGGGGGGAGATGCATGGGGAAGGGGGGAGATGCATGGGGAAGGGGGGAGATGCATGGGGAAGGGGGGAGATGCATGGGGAAGGGGGGAGATGCATGGGGAAGGGGGGAGATGCGTGGGGAAGGGGGGAGATGCATGGGGAAGGGGGGAGATGCATGGGGAAGGAAAGCCTCTGTGGTTCGACCCCTCGCACATGTCCCTTTGCACTCTGATCTATTTCACCAGAGCTGGGTGTGATGTGAGAATAGAGTGAAGATTTGGGCCAAGGCGTGGCTCACAGGGAATGAGGAGGAGACTTCCGCGAAGGTGAGGGCGACGCAGTGAGTGAAGAGAGCTGTGAGCCACCAGTACCACACGAGCGCCACTGGGCCTCCGTTGACGTACGTATGGCTGGCGTGAGCGCAGGGGAGTCGATGAGAATATGGGAGGGAAGGAAGACGGCGAGGGCGAGGGGAGAGGAGACGACCATGAGGTGTGGCCCACCACTACCACACGAGCGCCACCGGGCCTCCGTTGACGTACGTATGGCTGGCAGGGGAGGGGGGAGGGAAGGGAGAAGACAGAGAGGTGTGGGCCAGCAGTACCACACGAGCGCCACCGGGCCTCCGTTGATGTATGAGGGGAAGAGACGATGGAGGTGGGGTTGTGGTCATGTGGACCGATGGTCCTGTGAGTCATGGTCCTGTGAGTCATGGTCCTGTGAGTCATGGTCCTGTGAGAGTCATGACTCTAATCCGTTACGTAGCCAACACACGAATTGTCACGGAAGCAACTGTACGGTTATGGGCGAAGGGACTGGGAAAGAATGGATGCGCATGAGGAGGTCAAAACCTGAAACCCTGAAACGGTTCAGAAGCACTGTAGATGAGGACGGATGAGGGAGCATGGGCTGTTTCATTCTTTTTTACTTTCAAGAATGTGAAATTTCAGAATATGCTCGGTAAACAAAAGCTCTAACCGCGTCAAAAGGCATGTCTGACGGCGGTGGTGGAAGGGCGGGTGTTACTCACGCGTAGAACGGGACAACGCCAGCGTAGATAATGATGGTGGAGAGGCCAATAGAAAACACATCGACGAAGCCCTATACCAGGTACGATGAGGGAGGGAGGGAGTGGGATTGCGAGTGGTAGAAAGAGGAGCAGCGTGAGTACAGTGAAACGGAAATGGAATTGGTAGGTTATAATTGTACTACTAATCAGCAACATTGTTTTTTGCATGATATGGTTTCATTCCATCAATTCTCGCTGTTATCGCGTTACCGAAGTCTACGTTATAAGTACGTACGAGGCGTCGCTTCAGCTCCTGTTTGTATCCCAGCTCGTTAAGAAGCCGCTCGCCCGAGTCAAGTTCCACAGTCATGTGCAACCCATCCTCTAACATAATCTCCAACGTCTCCCGCTGCTCCGAACCTCCCGCCGAACTTCCCGCCGCATTTTGCGGGTTCTCGTCCCCCGCATTTCCCGGAGTCCTGTCGCCTGGCTCCGCCGCCGTTTTCCCTGCATTCTCGACTTGCCACGTGCCCGCGATTAATACAATCCCGCTATCTTCGGCTGGATTGCCGCTGTTTCCTGCATTAGCATCCGGCCGAGCCGCGTTCTCGTCTCCTGAGAAGCTCTTCCTTCGCGGTTTCGAGTTTTCAGTAGCTATTTCTTCGCCTAAGGAGCTGCCCCGGGAATCCCGCAACCGCCATAATGCACGTTTCGCGAGCAGTGATCCAGTCATCGGGGAATGTATACAGGGTTACGAGGAGTTCTGTGACTCATGCCGGAGAAACAATGTTGGTAGAAATTGATTGTGATGCTTGCAATACACTGTACCACGGGACGAGACACCTGGTACTGTAGTTGCAACCAACTGCGAAGATCGTCACAGCGACACCATAGCAGGAGGGTGGGCCAGGGGAAGGCTTTGTTCAATGATGCAATGGCGGCATTCTATGAATGTCATCAGACACGGTGACTTTTGAGGGGACTAAAAAGCCAGACAGGGAGTAAGTCGCGGCGATTGAGGAGAGCATCAGGCCTGTTGAAGTCCCTGGGACTAAGGTGGTGTCCAGCTCGTACATTTACTGTTCGTAACCCCTTTACTGAACGTGTCCAGCGGACACAATCAGCTTTCGTTCCAAGACGGCACGCCCCCTGCACGTACCTAGAGTCGTCTGACTCACGTTACTGGAATCAGCAGGGACGCGAACAAGGGTACAGCGCCGCGTCCTGGCCACTACATTGCGTGCCCCTTGTATCGCTTGCACGATATCGTCAGTTTTTCGCTTAACTCGCCAACGCCCCCTGCGCCTCCACAAAAATTCTCAAACTATGATTGACGAGGGAAACTGTTACCTCGTTTTCAGCATGGTCAGAGCACTGTTGATTCGTGTGGCGGCGAATGTGTCCGCGCTTCTGAAATTACAGGATGGCTGGACTCCGCTCACAATGCATTCGTTTCTAGGTACGGTGGTCATTTTTGAACCTCGATACGTGTGTTGGCACGAAAAATCCCGAAATGAACGAACTGGACACGCCCTAAAACTTGGAGTCCTGAGCTGCTCAAATTCTGGCCCGGATTCTCATGGGCGCAAGCCGAATTTAAAACTTGAAATCTGGGCTACTTAGGAAATGTACTTTGCCCTATTGTAACAAAGGAGGATATCAACCTAAAACTATGCAGGAGGGAGAAGTTTAATCACTGCTCATCTACGCACCTACAGCCTATTTTCATAGACAAAAACAACGGGGGGGGGGGGGTAGCCGCGGGGGGGGAGGAGGTGTAGGTAGGAAAGGGGTGGTCCTTCGAAACAGAAACCAAAAACTTAGATTCAGGGGAAGGCTTAAACGAGGCCCTTAACTGTCACGGGTGCCATGCGAGTCCAGCACTGAAAACGGTCGAGATGCTCCGAGAGTAGCTCGGAAAGTTCAGGTCGTTAAGGAGAAATTCCCTTACTTCAACATCCCCTGGTGAGCATGCGTGGCTGATCAAAATGCTGATCTACGGCTACTGTGATAATATCGTCGGGTGATATATAGTTTCAATACGGTGCATAGCGTTCCAATACGGTACACCGTGGTTCTGCGATTCAGGAACATTGTACAGTACTTTCCTAGGTCCCTGTGACAGCAAGAGGCCCACCCACCAAACCACAGGGCACAGCCAAGCACCCATCGCCCCCCAGCAGCAAGAGGCAGGGCGAAAAACGTTTCTCGCCTGCCCGATTCCTTCTTAACCAGGCTGATTCTTGCTAGAAAAGTGGCTGTCCAAACAGATTCCACTATTTTCCTTAAAGCCCAAGACCTGAATTACTCAACGCAAGTCAACGGAAAAAAATAGGTTCGGAAGGGAAAACCTGAAAAGGGCGTAGATCCCAAACTGTGCACAGTCTGAGATAGCACGCAGATAACTAGGCAGGGAGCGTACCTGTAGAGATAGCGGGGAATCAGAGGCGCCTTACGAATGTGTGTGGCGCGGATTTCGATGACGACGCGCAAAGATAGTGTTCGTTGGTGTCGAAATGCAGGTTTAGTGCAACTGATGCGTATACTCGCACGGAATATCGTAGCGTGACCCTTCGCCAAAGCATGAACCTCTCCTTGCCGTCGTTTTCCTTTCCCAAGGCCCCACGATTTCAATCTCTTTCGCCATCGCTTCCCCAGCTCGTCGCCTTCAAGACCTCCTTCCGATGCCTTCGCGACCCCAGCCCGTCGCCTTCGCTCCGCCCGTTGCCCTCGCTTTCCACGCCTGTCGCCTTCACTTCCCCTCCCCCGTCGCCTTCTCTTTCCCCCGACCCCGTCGCGCTCAATTCCCCCTCCCGTCGCTTTTCCCGCCCGTCGCCTTCGCTTCTCCCGAACGGCGCCTTCCGTTCCCCCGCCCGTCGCTCTCGCTTCCCCCGCTCGTCGCACACCGCGCCAGTCGCACACGCTTCCCGCCCGTCGCACTCGCTTCCCGCCAGTCGCACTCACTTCCCGCCCGTCGCCTTCACTACCCCTCCCATTGCCGTTCACTCTCTCCAGCTCACGCTCTGCCCTCCACTCACTCTCTTCCCCACCCTTCACTCTCTTCTCTCATGTACACTCCCTTTCCCCCTGTTCTCACTCCTCTCTTTCCCCCTCGCCTCACTCTCTACCCCCCTGCTCAATCCCTTCCCCCCTCGATCTCTTTCCCCTACTCACGATCTACCCCCCTGCTCAATCCCTCCCCCCCTCAATCTCTTTCCGCTGCTCACTCTCTCACTCTCTTCCCCCCTGCTCACTCCCCCCCCCCCCGCTCACTCTCTCCCCCCTGCTCACTCTCTCCCCCCTGCTCACTCTCTCCCCCCTGCTCACTCTCTCCCCCCTGCTCACTCTCTCCCCCCCTGCTCACTCTCTCCCCCTCTGCTCACTCTGCGCCCCTGCTCACTCTTTCCCCCCCTGCTCACTCTCTCTCCCCCTGCTCACTCTCTCCCCCCCTGCTCACTCTCTCCCCCTCTGCTCACTCTGCGCCCCTGCTCACTCTTTCCCCCCCTGCTCACTCTCTCTCCCCCTGCTCACTCTTTCCCCCCCTGCTCACTCTTTCCCCCTCTGCTCACTCTCTCCCCCTGGACTCACCCGCCTTTCCTCCCTGTTTACTCTCTATTCCCCTTCGTTTAACCTTTTTTCCCCACACTACTCTTATTTCCCCTGTTCAGACCCCTCGGTTTCCCCTGCTTACTGGCTTTCCCCCCTGCTCACCCCCTTCTCCCCCCTGCTCACCCCCTTCTCCCCCCTGCTCACTCTTTTTCCCTTTTTGCTCACCCCTCTGCCCCCGTCCACATCCAACCCTCGCTTATCTGCCATACCCCCTCTTCCCTTCCCGTTCTATCACGGAACCATGCTTGAACAGGTTACAGGTGCCCAGCACCATGAGTCCCAACAGGAATGTGATGAATGTGTTCCTGTAGTCTATTGATGACAACTTTTACATAAACAATATTATGCTTTGTTCCACTTCTTTGTAGTGGCCATGTGCATGGCTGCTCTGAAGCAGAGAAGGTTTTATTAATAAAAGCATAAGCGTCAATACATGGCATGGCAACCTATTTGTCATACCACTATCATCAAACAACGAACACCTCACATCTGGGTGCATGGCAGACCTGCACAAACACGAACCACAAAATTTTGTGTGTCATATGTTGGAGCAGCTGGGAAGGAGACCGTACAAAACAATAACAATCAAAGGGCAATCCCCTTGAATATACAAACAGGCTAGGAGTGTACAGGCTTGGAAGGGAAAGGGTGGATGGGAGGATGTGAGAAATTCGAGGGAGTAGGCAAGTGGGTCAGACAGAAAGGCGGAGGATAGGAATATCGGAAGATGGCAGCTTGAAAAAAAGGGCAGCAGGGTGGAGAGGCAGGAGGATGAAAGAAAGAGTGGGTGGGAGAGTGGTAGGGAGGAGGGAGGCTTGGAGGAAGGGCGGATGGGAGAAAGTGAGGGAGGTAAAAGTGTGGCAGGGTATAAGGGAGGAACGGGGAGAAGGGAGAATCAGAGAGAAGGAAAGAAGGGTACAAGGGTGTGGGGGGAGCGTGGGTGACGGTGGGAGGGAGTGTAGGGAGAGTGGGAGGCAGTGAGGGCGACGGAGTGAGGATGGGCGGATGAGAGGATGGGCGGATGAGAGGATGGGCGGATGAGAGGATGGGCGGATGAGAGGATGGGTGGAACGGAGGAGCAGGGTTGGCGTGAGGAAGGGAGTGGGCGAGAGGGAGATGGAAAGGGAAAGGGGGACTGGATCGAGGGAGGATGAGGAGAGGGAGAATGGCAGGAAGGGAGGGCGGGAGAAAGGGAGGGAGAACGGGCAACAGAAAGGGGAAAGAGGGTAGTGAGGCAGAGAGTGTGGGATAGATGGAGGAAGGGAGGAAGAGAGAGGGAGAGGAGGACGACTGTGGGGGCCCCACGGAACGGAGTAAGGGAGGAGGGCAGGAGGTAAGAGTGTGGCAGGAGGTAAGGGGGATAGGAGGATCCCTGCACCCTCTCTCCCTAACCCCTCCCCTGCTCCGCCTCCCCTAACCAGCCCCCTGCAGCACTGCACTCCTTGCTGCCCGCCTGCACGCGCTGCCCTGGCTGTGCGCCCAACACTCTGCTCCAAAGCCGCACCACCACCTGCCATGGGCGACAGTGAGGGGAAGCGTGGGCGACGGTGAGAGGAAGCGTGGGCGACGGTGGGGGAAAGCGTGGGCGACGGTGAGAGGAAGCGTGGGCGACGGTGAGATGAAGCGTGGGCGATGAACGGTGGGGGAAAGCGTGGGCGACGGTGGGAGGAAGCGAGCGCGACGGTGGGGGAAAGCGTGGGCGACGGTGGGAGGAAGCGAGCGCGACGGTGGGGGAAAGCGTGGGCGACGGTGGGAGGAAGCGAGCGCGACGGTGGGGGAAAGCGTGGGTGATGTGCGGGGAAGCGTGAGGGAAGGTGGGGGAGGGCGCGAGCGACGGTGTGGGGAAGCGTGGGGGAAGGCAGGAGGGAGCGTGAGCAGCGGTAAGGGAAAGCGTGAGCGACGGTGGCGGAAAGCGAGGGCGCGGTGGGGGAAAGTGTGAAAGCGACGGTGGGTGGGAGCGTAAGCGACAGTGGGGGGAAGCGTGGGTGACGGGAGGAAGAGCGTGGTCAACGACGGAGTGAAGTGTGATCGACAGCGGGAAGAAGCGCGGGCGACGGTGGGGGGAAGCGTGGGGGACGGCGACGTCGACGAGGGGAAGCGTGTGTGGCAGGGTGTGACGCCGACAAGGAAGGACGGTGGGGGAACATAGCTGAGGCAAACATAGGGCGAATGCGCGGGAAATGGCAGCGATCGACCGTACGATTACCTAATATCGACCTCGGAGAGGAGATGCATGCGCCGCAAACTGACGTTTTCGCGGTCGCGCAGGGTTTCGACGACGACGCTGAGTGAAAAGTGGCGCCATCGCATAGAATCTGTTTGGTGTTTTTTTTCCTACCAAACTATTGGGCTCGGGCTCTATTGGCTTTCTGTTCTACCTAGGAGTTTCACGTGGATACTATGTGGTCGAGCATGACCTGAATTACCACAATTTCCAAACTGCGCACAGCTTGCCTTCCCCTACTCCCTTCAGGAGGGAGCGGTTGGGACTCCCGCCAACCAATTTTGTGCTGCTCTACGACTCTCTGGTTCTTTGCGGGGCGTCATTTGGTAACCAGAGAGGCTCGGGAAGTCAACTGTGGGCTCGGAAGGCAAACTGTGCACAGTTTGCCTTCCTTTTTTTGTAATTCAGGTCTTGGGCTTTAACTTTTAACGAACCTACTACAACCCCAACCCTAAAGCAAAAGCCTGCCCACATACGTACAACATCGAACCATATCATATCATTGGATTCCAACATCGAAACTTCTCATTTTGTCAAGTGGCGGTACCGCATACAATGTATAATAAAATAAGGAGCGTTTGATATATCAAAATAATTTTGATTCTTCTAGTGATAATGGTAATTTTCACAGTTTGGCAGGAACCACACTGGATCCAGACAGACTTCCACGCTCCATGGAAAAGATTCTTCCAAGTGGATTGTCTCACCTACTTCGTTAGTCGTAATTGTATAGAGACCATGCGGTGAAGCGCGGACAATAACCACCAAGAGGCTGACTTCTCACCATTTTTCCATGTCTTGTCGCTGCTACTATCACACATCATTGGCACCATGTGTACTTCCAAATCCTTGCTTTTCCTCTCTATACTCTTCCCATCCTTATCCAACTCAAGCACATCCCTCTGGAGCACATCCCTTTCAAGCACATCCAAGGCCCGTGCGACTGCTTCCACTGTACTCACAGCCCCTTTGTGTGGCTCCTTGCGCACCACAAGGCCCAGGTGGCCCGGCGGAGGGCCGGGGGAAGCGAGGTCAAAGGGTAGGCACACCTGTGGTGGTGTGGTGTGCATGCAAGACAGAGCGGCAGGAGAAATGCAGCAATGCATGAGAAAGAAACAGGGGACAGGCCGATGGTGCAGCAGGGTGCATGCCGGATAAGGCACCTGCTGAGGCGTTTGGCAAGAGTAGAGTAGTGTCAGCCAGAAGTTGAGCTTTAGGTTTGCTTCAGCCTATTCATTCCCTCTTTATCAGCCTACTCAATCTCTCTACGCGAGCCGTGTCATCCTGTTCCTCTTCCCTTTCCACATACCATAGCACAGTGGCGCCTGAGGAAGCTTCCACTCGCCTTCATCATCTCCCTGGCATGCTCCCATGTGCCGTCGATCACCACCAGGGTCACATCATACCCCTCCCCACACTCCCTGATCCACTGCCCACACCCCTGCGCCTCTGCTCCACACTTCTGGCTCCACTTCCCACACACCTTCTCCTCCTCCCTACACCCCCCGCCCCACTCCCCACGCCCCTTCTCCTCCTCCCCACACCCCCCGCCCCACTCCCCACGCACCTTCTCCTCCTTCCCACACACCCCGCCCCACTCCCCACAACCCTTCTCCTCCCTCGATTCCCGCGGCCTGTCCCCGCACCCTCCCTCCACCCCTCGCTGCTCCGCTCCACCTCTCTCCCCCAGATGCTGTGCTGCCAGTTGACGCCGGGCCAGATACCACCTCCACCAGTCGCCCACCGGCAGAGCGCCCTCCCCCGGGAACATGAGCAGCCGCACGTGCCCACACGCACACACACCGTCCCCTGCGCCGCATGCTCCCCAGCTCCTCGCTTCACACACACCGTCCCCTGCGCGTACCGAATCCGCATCTCCGCTCCCGATCCCTGCTCTTTCTCTCTTCAGAGGCTCACTCCCAGCATTCCATCCATTCCCCCTCTCTCGCTCCTCCCCTGCGCTTCGCCCGTTTTCCTCCCCTGGCCTTTCAGCCTCCGTTTCCCCACCCCCTCTCCCCTCCTGACACGTGTCACCCAGTCTATCCCCGCAGCGAGGGATCAGCGCCCGGTCCAACTCAGCTGAAGATCCTTCGAGGAACCTTCGTCCAGTCATGATGCGGGCGGAATCTAGAGTGAGCGTGAGAATCGGGGCAGTCGCGAGCCGCTTCTTGGCTTCGTGAGGGTGCTGCAGAACTATTACCCTTGTCCGTGTCTTTAACCTACTCGGCGGTAAACTAGGGCATAGACACGCGCGCGACGGTCGTTGACAGCGATCGCACAGCGCTCGCCTTCCTGCTGGACGCGAGGCTGCTCCTTTCGGAACCGCCACGTCAGCGTCGGATGACGAGGCATCTGGTAGTGGGTCGAGCGTAAGTTGCGCGAAAGGGTATTCGTGTACATCCTCCGGCTGGGAATCAGTGGGAAGCATGAACTGATCGGGTCTAGTATCAGTTCGAGACTAGTAGAGTGCCGTCGCCAGCCTCCGCGATGCCGAAAGCTGCTCGCGAGGACGGGTGTGCGAACAGAGTAGTAGTTGGGAGACTTCCTTTGGCGAGTACGCTTTTTAGTGCTGGGTGCTTTGGGATGTGGGACGGCGAATGTTTCACAGCTGAAGTAGTAAAATTTATGCGGAACGTAAGGGCGCGTTCGTTCCGTCAAATATGGCAAAGTTTACATTGTAAGAGCGAATTTAACATTTCGAAAATTTGTTGAACCAAAATCGAGTTTCCTTCTACCGAAGTTCGCCCTTTGACTGAACAACACTGCAAACATACAATCACACTCCCAAGGTCGATTTCCGACATTCGACCTTGTAAACAAAGTACCGAGCCGCACCCCAAACCGTAGGCTACCCGGTACAAGGGACTTGACGTCGCGACACGTCAACCTGGTGCGCCTCGAGTTACATCCGAGTAGACCTCCAACACAGCTGCGCGCTCCGTCTGTTCTGGGTTACAAATAGCCCCCGTGGCACCACAGATATTTGCCAATCAATCACAATGACGCTCCTCCAGCTCTGGAAATTCTGGAGTCGTCTTACAAACGGATACACGTGTCAGGCGACACGCGCCCTTGTCGCAACGTGCGTTCGTCGAGCCATGTAGAGCTTCGCCAGCTCGTCGGCGGTTTCGCCTGGTTGTCGTACGTGCCACAACTCTCACAAGTGCGCTTGTACGTGCGCACCCACGTCCACCCGAAAAACTCGAGTCTGACTCAGTTTCTAAGGGCGAACTTTTGGATACCGATGGTTTTGCGAATTTCGTAAAAAGTCTTTCACGAAATTGGCGAAATAAGTAACCATCTAAAGGTCGAACTTTTTTCGAACTTGGCAACAGAGCAAACGCGCCCTAAAAACACTTTGTAGGTTCTGCGAATGTCGCGAAATGGTTACAACAAAATGCAATGCCTCACTTGGCGAAATCGTTGTCCCTCGCCCGCCAGTTGTCGGATTTTGGTCGCTCCCCTGCCACATTGGATTCGTGTATCGGGGCGAATTCTTTCGGCCACACCAATGTTATTTTCCCCTACGCCCATTCCCATAGCAGTCATTCTCATCTCACTTGTTGCACCTCCGACTCTGGAGAACTCGCTCGCTGTGAAGCGGTCTGAAAACCTAGAAAGCTCCACGCGCGGTCAACTTCTCTGACGGTCAACTTCTCTGATATTAGTCCGGTTCGGCGTCCTATTCACCATGTCATTAACCGTGTCACTCACACTAAGTAGGGCTACGCTTCGTTTCTGCACATCCAGCAATTGTCGCCAACTAAGACCCACGAGCCATCTCAAGTCCAAAACTCCTGAGGTTCTATCAGAACCGTCGATTCCCTTTTCCTGTAAGCTTCCTTCGTCCAATTCACGATTGGCCGTCTCCTCTCTCAGCGAATGTAGACGACGATGCAACGTTGAGGCTTCTGTTTCTTCGCGAACCGCCTTTCGAACCAGCAGAGCCGCCTTCTCGCCCGTTCAGCCTAGAAAAGCTTGTCGTCGAATCGTCCGAGCTTCTAGCGGCGTGGATGATCTCCAGATCCCTGCCACGTGGACGATTCCGGAAGTAGCACAACGCGTAAGCGCAATGTCTCTCCGTCCAAACTGTCGGAATTGTCTCCCGCGATGCCGTTCTGTTCCCCGCTCAATCCCCCCACTCTAGATGTATAATTCCTTTCTCTGAAACTATCAACGCTCCTCGTCCGGATCTGGGCTGTGCAGGAGGCTGATTGGCTGAGGGAGAACCTAAAGGCGTGGCTCGACAACGAGTACTGTCCGGAGCCCGCCAACATCGGAATCAGCGAGCGTTGCGCCAAGGTAGGCGAAGAGGTGATTTTTCAGTCGAGTGAAAACTCTGAGTCGACTCAAGAGTCTTGAGTTGACTCAAAAGTCACCTGGGGACTTGGCTCAAGAACGAGTACTGCCCGGAGCCCGCCAACATTGCAATCAGCGAGCGATGCACCAAGATAGGTGGAATCTGGCTGTGATGCCATCTCATAGGTAGCTGTGGCCTTCAATGAAAGAACCAAGTAGAGACCAAGGAGATCACATCATAAATACTGGTTGTCTTGCCAGGCAGTTGCCTGGTGGATCTTGTGAACGTACTTTAGAGGAGAATGCTTGGTAAGTAGACATTTTCGTGCCTGAAAACGGAACCATGGTTTGTAAGAGCAAGCCGAGGAAGGCAAACAGAATAGTGGGCTAAAGTAGTTACATCATCGCTGTGACTGTTACAAAATCTGCATGGGAGAATAAGGAACGCATTCATGCATTGGACGAAGCGTTCGGTTCGCTTCCATCAGAAATGTCCTTCTTGCTGTTCCTTAACAATCTTTCCATTGCCCAATTCCACAGGTCTACTACCGCTGCTTGCTAAACGAGGAACGGGAGATTGCACAAATTCTTATGCAGGTGTGCAGCATCCTGCATTGCCAACGGAGCTTTTATGGTGTGCCAGTCTACAATTTCCCACATGCTTATTCCAATTTGGCTTTCACTTTATTGGTTCAACAAACCGCTCACATGTTCTGTGGTGTGTGGCTGCAGATGGTTTATGACTTGGAAAGCTTCTCGTTCAAGGAGAGCTTTCATGGGCCCTTTTCGTCAGCCAATGCAGCAGTGGCACTCATATCCGATAGAGCAGCCACAAGTAGTGATTAGCGGGCATGAAGCACCTGGTTGGCCAACTACACCAACTAGCTGTTCATCGTAGTGCTAGGTGTGTCCAATAGTGCTGCCAGTTGCCAGCAGACGTCAAGCATCTGGGCGTCTGATTACGCCATTTGATTGTTTTGCCAGTCATCTCTGACGGAGTTGATAGTGACTAGCAGGCATCAGACATCTGATTGTTACTGGGTCAAGTGCCCTTGTTGGAGGCACCAATGCAAGGTATGTTACTCTGTTATGCAAATGTTGATTTGCTTTATTGTGTAATGGTCCTCTTGAAAAGGTAACAGTTTTGTGTAATGTGTGATGGAGTAACTGATCAGGATGGCAGCTGTACAGGTGTGTGATTTTGACAATTGAGAGAGAGGGAGGGGTGGGAGGGGGTGGGGAGACCTGCATTGGGAATACTGTTGTACTGTTATCCTCTGCTACCTCCTTCACATGGATATTTCCCGAAGGCTGGAATATGTTTTTGGCGGGGACAGAGTAGTGAGGAGCTGTGACTGGGCAGGAATAGTGTGTGGCAAATTCTACAGTATTGATTTATCTTCGTGGCTGGCTGGTCCCACTGGATCCAGCATACTACACGTGAAGTTCATGTTCTGTACATTACAGCATGATATACAGTACAGTTTAAACGGTTCAGTGCAGTACACGTATCCCAAGACTGACTTTTTGTAGTTTATGACACATGTGCGTTATGTGTGGAAGTTGGGGATTGGTTACTTGAGCGTTCGGCGCCTTCGAAGTTCTACGAACACTTTGGCTTGGTTCCGTGGAGACAGGCCCCGGACCGGGCCCGAGGCTCACATTGGTTCGATGGACGCGCATTAATTATCACCAATGTGACTGTGCACGCGAGAGGCGCTGCAGCCACACACTTTTGGCGGGAAGTGGGGGTTGACAAAAATATTCGTTTCGGATGTTGACGAGGACAAAAACTGTCCTGAAGGCGCCCTAGCGCAACCTTTCCACACCAGAACTAACCGCACTTTATCCTGTCGGAGGGGAACCTGCGGCAAAGCGAACCGGCCCTCCCCTTTGCCCACCTGCACCCACAGCACGTCCTCCCCGCCCCGCACCGTGCCACTTCTGACGGGGGGGGGGGGGGGGGGGGGGGGGGGAGGAAAGGTGTGGAAGCAAAGTTGTCTCCACGATGGCGTTGCGCGGAACTTCCCTTGTGCAAGTTCACAGGTTCCCCTTCCCTTCTCCCTCACCTCTCCTCATCTCACCTCCCTCACACCGTAGCCATTCCAAGCCACTGGTAGCATAGCAATTCTCTTGCCTGAAGGCGATGACGGAATAGAAATATGGCTCTGGCGGCCTTACTCCCGGTAACAAGAGCTAATGATGGGAAAGCGCGTGCCTTCGTCTCCCGCCAGTAGCTGCCTCCCAGCGCAATCGGAGCATCGTCCGCCGCGCTTTAGTAACCAAGCGTCAAAGATTAGCGCGACGGGAATTAAATACTTCGGAGATTTTTAGGAGAAAATTAGACGGAAATATTTATTTTGTTTCCTAAACCGCCGCGCCACGACATCCCATACCTCCGTTTTCGTCGTAGCTTCAGCTGCATTTCCGCCGCGAATGGCGGACGACGGCGATTGGACGGTTGAGGAGAACACGGCAGTCGAGGCGCCAGTAGCGGAAAACGACGAGCTCTTCCGCGAGGCGTGCGCCTTCGAAGGCGCCGCGGTCGTCGCGCTAGTCGAAAACACGCCGAACAGCGGGAATGACGGCGCGGATGGCGGAGGGGGGGCGGGCGGCGCGAAGACAATGGAGATTATGCTTGACGACGGTGTGCTACTAACGGTGGAGCTGGATTCCGGGGAGAAGCGTCTTAACGAGCTAGGATACAAGCAGGACCTTCAACGCGATCTGGTGTGTTCCTGCGACCGCCTGCATTCTCTCTCTGCTCGCTGGACTTTCCCGAGTTCGAATCGACTCGAAGCCACCGCGTTGTTACGTCAGACTCGACCAAGCCTGACTGCGGTGACGCGAATGTGAAAAGATAACGCACAATGCTGTCGTTGCCTGTGCTCTCATCCTCCGTCTTTTTTGCCCATCTCCGCCCATTCCCCCGTCGATCTCTCGTCCGCGAGTTACGCCGTTTGAGGCGGCTCAAGTTGCCTCCACTCCGAATGCGCATTCTCCCATCCTTCCGAACCTCTGTTTCCCCTCGACCAATCAGAACGCCTTCGAGCTCTTCGCCGTGTCGTTAACGGGAGTGGGGGTCTTCCTTGGGGTTATCC